AGCTGAGGATGTGAGTTTGTGATTTATTTGTGGACTAAGGTATTATCAGTCAGGCCAGATATTGACAAAAATAGGTTTCTCCTCACGTACCTACATTAGAGGAAACACACAGAGGAAATACCGCAACACCATTTCACAACTGGGGGCAGTCTGACTACGTAACACAAACCTTATTGGATCTAATTTTAGGACAATCACAAGACCAGAGAAGGGAAACTGTTTCTATTCAAAACACAATACTGACTCTAAATACTATACAAACACAGTGAAATGTAGAAATCAGCATCACTAGTTCCTTCTGAAAGAGAAGATTTCTGAACACAGGCCACACATCCATGAATTAAACCATATTTTACCACACTTTCCCAGACCTCTATGTCTATTAATTTATCGTATGTAAGTAGCCAGAGCACAATATTTACATACCATTTGGAAAATAATGCTTCTAAGACATATGCTAACATACAGTATGTATTGTCCATGCATTCACATGAGAATCCAGAGTCCCAAACACGTGGAGACTGATATCAATTGGGAAAGATCAATTAGACAGTATTTAATATATGACAGTATTTATTGTCTATCTGAAAACAGAATGACAGCATCGTGATAATCTTTAAAGAGCAGCATCCAGGAACATGGACACAGAGATGATTGGACAGATATGATGATGTAAGAATTTGTGTATGAGTCAGCGTGGGGACAGCAGAGAAAAAAGCAAAAAGGTGAAATGTGACAGAAAAGAACCTCAAAAGAAACAATGTGGTTGTAAGGTTGCTGTAATTTGTAGTTGTAAATACATAGAAACTGCAAATGAAACCGGAATGAAAAACATTACTGAAAGACAAGAGGGAGAGGTTTTCAGTGTGTTTGTGTAAATGGAGCACCAGCGGGAGATCATTTAATTGATTTTCTTTCATTTTTCCCGGAGACGAATGAAACACCGTCCAATCATGATTATGTCACAGCATCTCCATGGCAACGTCTGCAGAAGACTGAGCCTCTGAGATGAGAGGGTTGACGCCAGCGCCAAACACATGTTGGCAGCGTACAGTCAGCATGAATGGACGACATCAAAGATAGATTACAGTTAAAGGATCACTTCACCCATTTTCCTACTTAACCACTATCAGCAGTCATTCAGATAGGCTAGTTGTGGTGCTATTTGCAAAAGTTCGGGGGTTTCTGTCTCCACCAACAATGAACAATGAAAGTGAGAAGAATTTCCCATCTGTCAACAGTTTATATGAGAGACTTTTTATTAGTAACTGCAGTAAAACTGTTTACAGTGAGGTCTGGGTATTATCTAAACTAACAATGACATTGTTTTTGGAAGGACAGTGGTTCAGTCTCACAGATAAACTGAGCCTGTGCAACCAGTTATATAATGTCTTTTAAAGGTTTTTATGGAAAGATGATGAAAATATGCTGTTGGTTGCATTATGGGAAATGTAGCCCATTGTTTTCATCTGTCGCTTGTGCATCCAATCCAACAGCTTTATGGAAGTGCAGTGCTAAATCCATGGAGTACCCCTGTTGTGGCTATGAACTGCTGTCAGTCATTATAGCAGCTGACATAACTGATATTTAGTTGTTTTATTATACAGTAATATAAGCTTCATGGTGGTCAAATCGGAGTCTGCTGTAGAACTGAGTAATGTTCAGAACAAAATAAGACTACTGATGTACAAGTAAGGGACAAACCAAGCCACAGTATATCAAGGATAAACATTCGTGCTTCAGTTCCACGTTCCACTTCAACAGACATGAAGCTGCAGGTGCAAGAAATAACACATGAGTACATAGCAAATGGCAATATTTTTATATTGCATATTAGGTCAGTAAGTACTCTGAGAGGATGTGGGTCTTTAAGGGATTTGTGGAAACAGTGAGGGAACCACACAGATTTCCTGCCTCGCAGTGACGATAAGAATAGTCGTCGTTCATTCACAGGATCCAACAACAACATGATATTGTGCTTCTGATCTAGCTGCTGTTAGCACAGTAATCACAGTTCCATCATTAGTGATGCTCAGTGCTGCTGCTACTGCCAGAGAATCCAAAGGAAACAGAGGATTTATCAGTTTTTGTTGTGATATTGTGTTTGAATCCAAAGATGTAGACGCCTGACAAGCTTCAGTGAATTACTATGTACTTGTTAGTGTCTGAATATTTACTATTCAAACATTGATTACCTGTGTCTGTCTACAGTAAAGAGAGCAACAGTGTGAAAGCAAAAAGGGGTTACCTGCTACAACTACTACAACACCACCTCTTTGACAGTCATGCAGTGTGGAACTTGAAGGAAATGTTTGGTAGGTGAATGTGAGCATTCATAATTAGACAAAGTGTGCCGCCCCACTTTGGCTGGAGAATAAAGAGAAAGCCTGTGGAGCTCAGTGGCTACAGCATGGCACTGACACTGCCAGAGCTTTGACTCCCACTGTGGCCATCCGAGCCGAACGTTGAGGAAGTGTTGCTGCTGTGAGCCTCCGAAGATAAAAGCATCCACCAAACAGCATAATGTCCAACCCATTCAAGATCAGCGAGATAGATCCCAGGGTGTCTCCTGGCTGTTTGAGACATCAGATGGACAAAACAAGACAAACCTGCTGGCGTAAACTTCTGGACAGGAAATGCCTCCATGTAAACAGGAAACAGAGATTTTTTGACAGATATACTTATCACATGGTGAGAGACACACATGGTTCTGGTCATTTCAGGGTACAAAACTGATTATAAACTGCTTCTCAGTTTGGGGAATAAATATATTTCAGTAGTATCTCAAATATGACATGACATGTGCTCTAAAGTCATTTGTTTACACAAGTCTTCCTTCCTGAAAAATCCTCTCGGCTCTCTGTGTATACTGAGGGAAGTTCACCCTTGAACGTACGTCAAGCAGTGTTTCCTCATGAGGACTCCCTCCTAAATGCCCAATCAACTCTTGACCCTACTTCCTGGTCTAAAATTTACCACACCCACAACCGCAACCACCATGTCGCCAGGAAACTGCTATCATCATCCATCACTTTATTTTTGACGTCATTTACTCCCAGATCATGGATACACACTCAAATTAAACCTGTTGCTGCACATCTTCCAGAGCAGCGAGTTACCTCAAAATAACAGAGATGTCTTAGAGCGTCCACAATAACAAAATGCCGCAAGAGTTTGACACCTCAGATTTTATTTGTAGCATCAGAATTGTTCCTGTGATCCCAGTGACAGTTTGTACCCACAGAATTAGTGCAGAGTTCAGTTACTGGCCTCCATTCCAGCTGGAGCAAAGAGGGGTTTGGCAGCTGCCATTACTACTGGATGATACAGAGACATCAACAATGTTAACAACCATATGGACAAACATATTAAAGCATGCACTAATGGGCTCAAAGTGAACGAAGATGGAAAAGCCTATAAAAATATGCTGCCAAGCTTCTGTACATACAATTAACTTGTGAAAAGGATTCATTCAGGGAGCAAATTATTATAACAATAACAAAAGATCTTAAGGCAGAATTGCAGCAGCAGGCGAGAGATGAGAAACTTTGATTTTACAGTTCATTAGAAGACATGATTAGTGTATCTGACAACAACAGAATGAATTAATACAGCGGCGGCTCTGCCATTTTGTCAAATTGTCAATGGACCATGTAGCTCACAGCTGACTATGTTAGGGCTGTCACGTTCATTGGAATTTCTGTACCACTTAGCTGACACTGCAAAAGCTTGAACTTCATATTGAATTTAGGCTCAGTGCTTTCACAGAAGTATAAGAAGCCTCTACACGTCATCTCTTGGATTCAGTTGGACTCAACAGCAGAAAAGAGTAAAACCTGAACTAGTGGAGATGTGTTTCAAGGAGCTAAATGGGAATATATGTTGACAACAAAGGCAAAAACACATAACCAGCATAACAAGTTCTTGGAAAGCAGAATCTGCCTTTTAGATGAGTTTGGTATTATCAAGAAAGTTTGATATAATAGCACTAATATCTGTTACCCAAAAATGACCCAGTGCTTGCATTATGTAACCCAGTGCTACAGAGCGGGTGTGTTTTGGCTACAGCAGCCTCTGAACCCACTTTGGGCCATAATACATACCAGGCTGGTATGTAAGCTCTGCGGTGGAGCTGGAATTGAGGGGCAAACAGATCCTATGACCATCACACTGCAGCTGTCGCTGGTGTGTAACATTAAGACAGGGGCTATTTGAAATGGCTGCGTTCTGCCACTAGCAGCTCTGTCAGCTCTGCTCTGCAGCACAAAGCCATTTAAAACTTATTTTTGCCTGGGGCGTGCTGTTATTCTGATAAACTAGAGTTTAGGTGCTTTTCTCTAAATGTTTCTTGAGGTGTTGTCCGGTGCTGGAGACCCCACCCTTCTGGCACTCCTTAAGGTTTAAATAAATGCTATGAATAATTTTCAAGTGTTATTTGACCCAGGTCTCATTACAAAACACTCTCTTAAACTTGGACTCATAGTGACATGCCACGCTGCAAATAGTTACCGTAAACCTCAGTGAATACTCAAGTGTTTATAACCAGCAACTGGCATGTTGGAATAAACACAAGCGGCAGCTGTCTTGCTAAAACTGTCTTTGCATTTAAACAGCACTCTATTGTTATGCTCTCCGAAGTCAGCAATGTGGAGTCTGCAGGCTGATACATAAACTATTCTGCATAGCTCTCAGCAAAGCTCTCAGCAGCTCCTGAGCTGCCAAATGTTGAAGCAATATTTGAGAAAATAAAACAAGTTCTCTGGCTGATTTAAAACTAAATTATACAGACACAGGTTGCAGACACAGACCAACAAAGGCATGGCCGCTGAAGATGTTTTAATACTGCTGCTACTCCAGAAAGTGAGTTATCAGTCCCCTTTAACCATGACTTTTAACACCTGCATTCCACTCTGCACAGAGCGACACACAGAGAGCCTTCAGGTATCAGCAGAGTGCTCTGTGTCACCAGCACAGACTTTATTAAACCACATCCAGCCTACCTTAATTCTCAGCCTCAGCGTGCCTCTTCCAGCGGTTCAAAGGTGACAGACCTCCACCTGCAGCAGCACAGCTTAAATCTCAGCCTCTCTCTCTTTTCTTAATCTTCCTACGACTCCCTTTATCTCACGTTCACTTCCTGTCTGTCCTCAGCTGCTCTCCTTCACTGTTTCATGTTGTCGTTGTTGGTATTTTGAATATTTTCCCCCTCTCTCTGTCTAAGGTCTTTGCCCCTTGTCACCAGCCAGCCTGTTGCTCCCCTCACTGAAGCCTCAGGCCTGGACCAGGTCCATGGCATCTCTAGGACGAACGCATCCAGCTGCCTGATTGGTCAGAGGGCAGAGAGATGCCCCCATATTAGGGCAGAAACAGGCGGGGCTGCGATAAAGGAGGGAGGAGAAGAAGATAACAAAGTTTGTAACATAGTAGACTGACTGTCTGAGCAGTGAGACTACTGACTGTCTCTCTCTCTGACTCTGAGATGCCAGCAGCATGTCTCCACGCAGAAAGCAGAAAACCTTTTTACAGTTTTATAAAATCCATCATTATGTGTGTCAAAGGAGATCTGTCAGTCTGATGATTCACACACCAAAAGTAGCACTAGGTGAGTTGTATTATCTCAAAGCTGGTAAATGAGAATTTGTTGCTGCTCTAAAACAAATACGTACATTGATTTTAAATGATCTGAGGTCTTCTTCCTCTTTTGCAGGAGATCAACACAATTATCAGGGAAATAACTACAGAGACTCCTTTACCCTGTTTCCAGGAGGAATATAAAGTGATAAAGTAGTGAAAGCTGTATATAGACCTGGCTACATCAGCAATATCCAGTTTTTAAAACGTTGACTACAGGCTATAAAATAAAAGCTCAAAGGTCAGTCTTGCTACTTTGGATAATGCTCCTCCTCATCTACTATCTCACCGTATACTGCTGAGTTTGCATGAAACGCCGGAGTGATTGATCTGCCATTAAGTCCTGATCACTTAATATGCAAGGCGACCAGTGGGACAGTTTCCAAAAATGATGTGATATCCTCTGCTCATGGTGATAAAGGACCCTTGAATAAAGCTCGTGCATGTTATGTCACATGGGTTTTCTTTCCAGGAAGTTGTCTGTTGGTGGTTTAGATGTCTGTATCCTAGCTGAAGGATGTAACTTCAAACACAGAATCCAAAATAAACCAGAAAACAGACTCTAATAAAATCCCGACGGTCTCTAAATGCCTGGATGAACTTTCCAACAAGTGCTGTTGTTGGGAAGTTATTTTTATCCCAAATGGCTGAAAATAGGAACAGCAGGCCTTAGATCTCATTTTAGAGAAAGTGTGACGTTTCCTTTCAGGGGAGCAGCTGCTGTTGTGAGCTGAATGATGTGTGTGTGTGTGTGTGTGTGTGTGTGTGTGTGTCTGCTTTTTCTCTGTGTATTCCTGTCTGCAGTTCAGCATGTCACTGTGTATCTGCCTGTATGTCTGTGTATGTCTCTGATTGTTTCCCTCTCGGTATTTACAGATGATCTGTAGTAAAACAACTGGCTGCAAAGCTGAGGTAAATATTAGAAGGTTTAGACGTGCCGGACAGCGAGCCAAAGTCCTGTGATTAGGAGATTATGAAACAACGGACCCCCTGGTGGAAAATGTAACATGTAAAAAAGGCCCCCCCACCCATTTTACATAGGAGCAAGACACCCAGACTGAAAGAGAAACTACAAATTACATAGGTGATTTGTAGTTTCTCTTTGTGGTCATACTGCATCTCTTTGTGTCTCTTTCAGTGACACTCTGCAGGCTCAGGGCCTAGTTGTATGACACTTTCTTGATCCCCGTAGCTAAATCCTCTTCCTCTAAAACGTGGTAAGAGGTCACACAGTGAGCTGAGTGGGTTTCAGTGTCTTACTCAAGGACACCTCAGCGTGGTGGATGCCGGACAACATGAGGGCCTGATCCACGGTTAAACCCATACATAGGCCACTGTATCCAGGCACATATTCAGCAGCTGCCACCCAGAGAAAGTATTCACGCTGGCACTAACGAACAAAGTAAGACTGACACAACTTCACGCTCACTGAGGTGAAATGAAGAGGCGTTCACTCCAGCGGAAGTAATTAAACAAAAGTTAAAGTGTAACTGACACTGTAAAGTCAATTCCAAACACTGTATCAAGTATCAAGCATCGCTGCCTGCAGATTCTACAACCAAAGTAATTATTAAGCTGGAAAATTATGTTAAAAATAATATTACATATTAATGAAGAAGTTAGTAATTCAGTGTTAAAGAAAGAAAAAAGAAGCTGTTAATGGCACTGGCAGCCAATCTTTGGAACAAAGTGATTAATACACAGCATTATTTAATGCACACTGCACACTGATGCTGGTTTCAGTCATCCTGCCCTCTCATTCAGGACATATTGGTTGTTTATGGTCTATGTAAATGCATGGATAAGTAATACAAGCAGCAGAGAAGGAGGAATGCTTCTTGGCTGCAGTGAGCACATTAATAGACAATAAGGACAGATTTATCACTCCTGTCCAGCTTGCTTCTTGCCCCAGCATGCGGCAACCTTCAGGATGGAGTTGGGTGGAGCCAAGTGACTAATTGCATGAGGGTAAAAATAGTAAAGATGTCCCTTGTCCCACCCTGACAACTAAACTAAACAAAAATAAAATAATGCTAAATAGTGCAGATTTGCAAGCTTTCTCTGATATATTTCCGTTTAAATTGAATCACTATTAGTACCTGGGGCGGGATTATTATTATTTGTTAATTTGCAGCCCTGGTCAAAACTGCACTGCATGTCCCTCCCTCCTCTTAGTTTTGTTTTACATGTTAGCTGGACAACTTACAGCTCTGTTATTCTAATAAGTCCATGAAGTTTGTTGTCCTCTCATAATTCACCAAACTACAGCCTGGGCATAGGTCTGATTATCATAACATAAAAGCAGTTTTTTGCAGCTCTGCTTTGTTATGAAATGGACACTGTTGCACAATATACATTTTAAAATTTGAACTGTGCCTTGAGATTTTCCATTATTTATTAGGTTTGATTTTGATTTTTTTTTTTAAATCACATTTTCTTTCTTTAAAGAATTTCACCTATTTTGTTAAATTTCAATTTAGTACTGTAAGAGCTTAAAATATATAGACCCACATCACCTGACTTCCATAATGAACCAAAATACTGCATAGGTGTGCAGATCCTTTAAGCCTCAAGCCAGACCCTGGGGGTTTATAGGCCACAGTCAACTGCCTCTGCCACCCAACCCGTAACCTCGCCATGGACCCATTAAAGCACCATCCAGCCCCTACAGCCCTACAGATGAGCGATGGATGTGTCTCTTGCCAGCGAGCCGTGCAGATGGGGTGGTAGGGGGGAGATGCTGTCAGCACAGATCAGGCAGCCAGCACTGTGTCAGCTAACATGGTCATTGTTGCACTCCAGCTCCCACACAAAGCCAGGATTTAGGCATGGGAGAGGCCTGGGACCCTGAAACTAGGGTTGGGCTGGATAGGGGAGGGATGGAGGGTGAGAGAGATGGATAGAGAGATAGAGAGGGGGGAGACCTGTATGCATATTACTGTTGTGGGTACTAATTCATTTTTGGTGATTTTTTATGTTTTTACTTAAAGTATTTCATGCTCTTTTATGAAAGTATCATAATCAAGTTCAAATCCACGTTTCTTTTTCCCTTTTGTACATTTTCACCAGACAGCAGTTACATGCGATGGCATACAGTATGTGATATCATATCATACAGTAACTGGGCACAGGGATCTGTAAATGATGTGTTTTTGTGATGGGTGGGAGTGAGGATGGTCAGGAGAGACAGACAGGGGAGAGCTAAAGGCGGACTAAGGAGGAGCAGAGGGGTGTAGAAGGGTGAGGGAAGGGTGGGATGTGTTGACGGGTGAGGAGGGACAGCTCGGTTGGCATGGGGCACGAGGTCCCACCAGACCAGAGCTATGCCCTCGTCAGCGCTTAAATGGGCCAGGAAACTGGAGCAGGCGGTGTGTGTGTGTGTGTGTGTGTGTGTGTGTGCGTGTGTGCATGCCTTACACTGAAAAACATGCCCGGTCTAAGAGGCGGAGTCTGAGAGGAGGAAGAGAGCTTCTCCCCAGAGGTTATTAACTTCAATTTATGTCTACAAGGTGTCGGTTACAAATGATATATTGTGAGGCTTCAACAGCTTAACAGTTTTACCACGGTAGTAGTGAGTTGTATGTTACTGAACTCTGAACACGATCCAACTTAACAGAGCGATTACACTAAACTCAGGAAGTGGACAACAAGAAAATTTAAATAAAAATACAAACTGTATGATGATTTGCCAGCCTGTTATCCTAAAAACAAACATTTGTCTACGTTGCTCCAAAAACACCAGCTAGTTAAACTATACGTAACCTATTAAATTTACGTCTTACGTGTAACTTAAAGGTCCAGTGTACAGGATTTAGTGGCATCTAGTGGTGTAGCTGCAGATTACAACTCCCTCGCTTTCACCCTCCCCTTCCAAGCGTGAAGGAAAAACTGCGGTGGCCATGAAGCTAACGTCACAATCTAGAGCCAGTGTGTCCGTTCTGAACTACTGTGGCGGGTCAACATGGCGGACCTGACCGAACTGCGACTGTTTCCCTGTTTCTTTTTACCATGACAACGAAGGTCACCTGGTATTTGCATGACAAAACACACCAAGATATTTAGGGCAAAAAACTCGAGGGAGGGTGTGTATTTTTGAAACAACAGGCATTCGGAGCAGTGGGCTTTTGTTTTTGGAATAATGGGCCTTCACAATAATGGGCAGCCCCCAAAAGGGTTGCACTTGTTTGTTCACACTGAAAGTGAAACGAATAGTTGTGTAGTAAGTGAAATAAGAGATCTAGAAATAGAAGATCAATCCCTGGCTCTTTCCTCAGCCCCACACCGCTGACCGGTCATGGCTTGAAATGGGTGTGAATGTCAAAGTTACAGAAATGGTTGGACACAGCGCCCCCTAATCCAACTTTGGAAAGGTGAGGGGGTTTCCAAAGATATTCAACCCTCCACAAACACACACACAGACACA